AAAGGCCTCATGAGAATAATGATCCAAGGGCCCTGAAATTGGTCAAGGGCATTTTGAGGACTATAATGTTAAGAAGAACTAAAGAAACGTAGTAAGTTGTGTCGACTAGTTTGTAATTAGTTTTGAGCAAGTATTTCAATTTTCTGTGTTTTTGTAAGTGAAAATTTATTTGGAAATGGTAGTTTTTATCCTCAAAATTTTCTTGCTAGAGACTTAGTTTCCACCTAAGGACTGCATTTATGAATGTAATTGTATTTTACTTGGGAATTCTTTCATGAGTCTTGAACTTTCCATGAGATACAAACAGGTTCAGTTTGATGAGTATGTTGAACGAAGAAATGTTCTTAACCATTATGCCAATATCCTTGAACTACTGATGCAGCTGCGACATTGTTGTAACTTGTACCCATCGATTTTTGGCTGTGGTATGTGTGGTAGAGTTATAGTTAGAAGACTCATTGCGAAGGTTAGCCAGTGCATTTTCTCAACTTGTGTTAACTCTTTCTAGTTTGTTAGTTAAAGGGTGGTAGTCTAGCATACTGGGCTGCCCTTAGTTAATTGCTACTCTCAACAAATTAGGAATTCAATGGTTAGAATCTGAAATTTATCGATAGAAATTAAGAATTGAGTCGTGAACAAAGAACTAAAGGGATTAAGCCGCTTACTATTCTCTTTAATCAATTGTTGTCTGAATTTGCTTTATGTTCATATCATAGACAACAACAAAACCCTTGTGTGTGTGAGTATAAGGTGTGAAAGATAATCATTGGAAGACGACTATGAGTCACTTCCTAGTACTACAATTTTAATTGTTATATTATTTCCGTCGGGTACGGCATCGATCAAATTTGGTGTTGTTACCGGAGATCAATGTTATTAAAACCGTACCGGTTATCAAACCGGTTAGGGTACTGGTATAGTGGTACAGTGGTTCAGTAATTAAACCGCATGCCGGTTAAACCGGACATACTTGCTTATATATATATATGTAAACCTATAACAAAAAATTTCAAATAAGTAGATATTCATATTTATAATCCATATTCATAATTTACTTCAAATTCACACAAACAAACAACATTAAGTCTTTAATAAAATCAAAGTCTAAAGTACAAAACATATATTTATCCAAAATTATCACTTAACAAACGCAAAATACAAATAAATGACCCAAGTATCAATCATTGAAGTTGAAGAATTGGTGAAGAATTGAAAATTTGAAATTTAAAAAAAAATAATAATAATAATGTACAAACCAACCGGTTTAAACCGGTTTACCGGTTTTGACCGGTTTTGACCGGTTTTCAACCGGTTTTGACCGGTTCTATTGCATATGCGGTATAACATATGTACCGTACCGGTTAGGGGTCCGGTTCACCGGTTTTCCGGTTGAACCGGCCGGTACGGTACGGTTTTCAAAACTATGCCGGAGATTATTAATTCTTGCCAAAGGTTCTTAGTAGTGTAGTTATTAATATCTTCATTCAAGTGGTGTTTAGAATAGTCAATTTGGGTTTGGAAAAATTGTATGTTCATTTGTCACTGTTCATTGTTTACATCTTCATTGGAATTTTTATATGAAACTTTGTTTTCACACTTATTTCATCATATATTGAATGCTAGATGCATCACAATCACTCACTCTGCTTTTGGTTGTCAGATACACAAAGCATGTGAATAGTATTTTGGTGAATTGCTATTGGACATAACTTTTGAACTATTAATCAAAATTGGATATATTATATATACATTTGGGGTAGAAAATTCCAAAGTAACCATTCCTTGAGAGTGTTGTTCATAAATATGAGAGGGTGAAGGATATGTATGTGGTTCTAAGGTTGATTGGTGTAAAGGAGAATATGTGAAAGAACATGGTTGAGGTTGTGGTCCTGGTGGTCGTTATGGTGTTGTCCACCGTGGAAAGGAAGGGATATGAGAACTAGGGTGTGAGTTATGTTGAGAATGGTGAGGATAATATGAGTCATATGGTGGATGAAAGGATAGTGGTAGTAGTTGATTAATTGTAAGTATAATGTGTAGAATACATAGTTATTTTTGGGTTAAGTTAAACCATGAAAGCACCAATATTAGAGTTTAATCTTACCAGATAAGAAAATAAGAATTCTAAAAAGACTATGACGTATTAAATGAGAATACAATTTTATTCATATCATTTAATCAATATTAAAATACTTTAAATAATGTTGAATAAGAGGGTATGAACTTTTAAACCTAAGTCCATCTTATTTAAAATAGGATAAATAAGATTTTATTTCTTCAAAACATAATCAAAATATAATCTAACCATAATCTTTAAACTTGATTGGTGGGAGAGTTATTCTCTTATGCCTCATATTAATACCTTCAATAGTGATTTTGTGCTCAGACAGCCTAACATTGCCCATCACTTGGAGAGCAACCTTGTCCTTAAGGTTGGACTGACAATTTTGTTTGTGTTTATTCTTATTGTGCCCTCGTGTCAGTTTAGGCTATAGTTGATCTGATAGGTGAAAGTGAATGACCCCTGCGAAATCTGTATTATGTGGTCCCCAATCAGTGTGCTCCTCTATTATATTAGTATTAAGGGAGAAAGTAGTATCCATCAGATCAACAGTCACTAGAAGTTGCTTGGGTATACAACGATGCTCGACAATATACTTTTCACCACAATCGTAACACAACCCTTGTGTTCGACGTTCTTGCATTTGTGTTGTAGTGAGGAACTAAATGGGTAAAGTTGTGGAACTGGTCACGTGCACAATAATAGACGTCGACCCCATTGTTGGTGCAATGGGCACAAGTATATTTGGACGTGCAGAAAGCCATGTGGTCGGTTCAGATGCTGCTATTTTACTTTTGACCAAATTTGCTAACCCAATTGCACTAGTCACCGAAAAAGGTTGTTGTATTGCTAATTCGCTCACAATTTCAGGATTCAAGCTTGATAGAAAACAATTTAAAGTCATCTCTGGTGTCAAGCCTAGCAATTAGAATGTCTTTCGAAACACGTTTGTATTCCATCATTGCGCTAGTTTGTCTTAATTTAAACAATTCTGCTTGTGGAATAACAAAAGTAGATGGGCGAAATAATGAGGAGTGCTATTGTGAACCCTTCCCAATTGTTGAGTTGATTAGTGTAGAACATCCATTTATACCAGGTTAAATGGTCTTCTTTCATAGAAAAGACAACCAATTCTATAATTTTAAAGGGTGTTACTTGGTATAGATTAAAACATTGTTCTGCTTGAAATAACCAATCTTGAGTATCTAAATCGTCAAATGGTTGTAGATGTAATTTGAAGAGTTTAATTGTACGTGGCGGTGGAAAATATCCAAATCCATACATGGCTGCTATGGTTAGCGGTTGAAATATATGTGGAAGTGATTGCGGTGGAAATTAAGAACCAGTTGTGGTCATATTCGCCAACTTTTCCACCAAAACATCCAACATGCTTTCCATCATGCCCTGTCGCTCTGAAAGGTGGTGTCAGAGAGATGTGAGTTAGAGTTGGTTGAGAATCTCCTCTATGTTAGAGTTGGTGGAGGATAATGCATAGATGGGTTTAGGAGACATAAAAACAACAATGAAATCACAAATGTTAGGGTTTAATCTTAGCACCATTGTTAAGATTTAAATGAGAATACAATTATATATATATATATATATATCCTTTAATCACGATTAACATACTTTAAATTGTGTTGAATATGAGGTTGTGGACTATTAAAACTAAGTCCAACCTATTTGAAATAAGATTATATTTCTTCAAAACATAATCTAACCATAATCTTTAACTTGATTAGTGAGTGAATTATTCCCATAGATCTAATATCAATATCTTCATTAGTGTTCTTGTGCTGAGACAGTCGAATAGTTAACCACTAAACAAGATGAAGACATTATTATTTTAATTAGGAAAATAAATTTATTATTTATTGTTAAAAGATATCTTCTAAAAAAATAATGTTATTAAAAATAGAAATAAAAAAAGAAAAGAAAGAAAACATTATTTACTTCATTAGGCCCAAAGAAAGTTGGGTCATAGTACTAGCTTTGGGTGTGGAAAATAGGGTGACTAGTGTGGTGTTGGTGACTTGGTGTACACAAAATTCCCACACGAATCAAGTGCATGTGAACGACAATGACATGGTGATGGATTGTCGCGCCCGAATTTTCGGCCACACGACCTCTTGAGAAGTCGTCACCACGTCTTTTGCAGTTAAAACATGGAAAAATCGAATTATGCCCGAATTGGATAAAATTGGTCTTTTAAACTAGAGTCGTTAGTTCCGGAGTCGATTGCGAATCGGGGAAGGTATTAGCGTCCGTTCGTCCATTATTAAACGGTACCCTAACTAATTGCATGCTTTTAATTTACCCTTATTTATTAAAATTAAATTGATTAAAACAAAATGTTTATTTTTTTATTTTTGTGTCTGAAAAGAGTTTATCTTGCGCCTAAAAATGGTTTGATTGAAAGTTATTAAAAATTGGTTTGAGTTTAATTGAAGTGAGACTAATAGACGATGAGTCAACATTGACTACTTACCCTCTTCTCACTTCGATAAATAACATAAGCAGTACAAGTGATCGCGACCGGTTCTCGGCTCGAAGTGAGAAGAAAGATGCAATAGGAGTTGTAACCTCGCTATTGAATCCAAAAATAATTAAGATAACTTAAATATTTTTTAAGAGAAAATTAATAAGCGAATGGTCGACATTAGTAGTTAGTTATTTTCTCACTTCGATAAATAATAGAAGCAGTACACGTGATCGCGATCGATTCTCGGCTCGAAGTAAGAATTAAAATACGCGCTAGTCATAACCTTAAAAAAGTATGATTTATTTTGATATTCAATGTTGAGTGAAAGAAGAGTTTTATTTATAAATGGACAAATAAATTATGTACATATATAATAGTTTCTTAATGATAGAATTATTGAAACATAGTTTTAAATAAGTTAATGCTGAAAATAGCAACAGCAAGGCCCAAAGCCCATTCTACAAATCTGAAAAAGGGAGAAAGGGATTAGGTTTTAATTTTTAAGTTTTCGATTCTTACTAGACCTGGACCGGCGACTGAGGAAACCGCCGGAGCTGCTAATGGGTGAACCGCCGCACAAGGCTGTTCGAGACGAGCCCTAGAACATGCGGCGGAGGCTGGCAGCGTTGGCGAGGCTGAGAGGAGAAGAACCCCGCTATGCCGGCTGCATCAGGTGAATCGCGTCCCTGTCTGGACGCTGGTATGGCGGAGGAGGGCGGCGCCTCCGCGAACCGGAGATAAGTGAAGAAGGATCCCTTCACTTGAACTTGGGTGAACCCCTTTTGTGGTTTGATGTCTTTTCTTTCTCCTTTTTGTTGGTGACTTTGACTTCCAGCACTTATGGTTCACTGTTTCTGGTTGATATCTTTTATTCTTGTTCTTTGGTTTATTTTACAAAACAAGAATAAAAACTTTATAACTCAACATACTGCTTAGATGGTTTGATGTCCTTGATTTGTTCTTTATGAATGTACACTATAGTCCTATGTATATCTCACAATGATCGGTAAATGAGCATGTATTATGATTTGAGAAAGTTTGTAATTATATGTACAAAGCAGTTTGTATTGTTATAACATGAATGTTCTTGCCACACATACATAATGAACAAATGTTTATGACATACTTTTAAATTAATTCTTTTCCATATGAGAAATTATTGTAACACACAACCAGTGTTAACCTGGACCTGTCGATTAGGATGATTATGTCTCAGTATAAGAATGATATTTTTCTTGCTTAGCTCCTCCTTTCCCAAACAGATTGTGTGCCAAAAAATCTGTTCTAGTTCTTCTCTATTTCTCTGTTGTGTTATATTTTGCTGTATATGTATTACTTCTTTTTATCCTTTTCTCCTTTTTGGGGTCCCTTTTGAGTGTTATCTTTGTTCATACTTATAGGAAGGAAGGGATGACACATGCACAATAATGAGAGGATTCTCCCATTAAAGCGTTGGAGGGAGTTAAGGGGGGAAATATGTTTTTTCCTTTTTTAAGTGATTGAATGTACCATCTTTTAAAGTCAAATGCAATAATGCTTAGGTGTTGTATGCTATAAATTCAAATGTATTTATTGCTAGAATTAAGCACATGCAATTTCTTTGCATTATTTCAATGATTCTCATTATTGCAATGTTAATTCAAATGCTCAATCACTGTTTGAATTAAGCATATGGCCAACGGCCTGAGTTATTTTAGTGCATCGCAAATTTTGTTGTAATTTATTGTCAAACGTTATACAATCAATTGATGTCTTTGTTTCTAGCACATGGCCAAAGTTGTAACAAATCCAACATTAAAATTTGCGTAATCGTGGCATTGAATCCACTAAGTTTCTTCAACAAAACATTTTGGTATTTGTGTTTTTCTTCATTATATTTGGGAAATGTATTTTGGGCCGGACAAAATTGGGTACTCACATGGGTAACACATTACATGTCATTACATGTTGTTAGATGTAGGGGTGAGCAGGACTCGGCCCTACCTGCTCACCCGGTATGGTCCGATCATGATCGGGTCTGAATAAGGTCTGGTCTCATCGGGTCTAGGGTCAGGTTCGGGTTCAAAAATTAGACCCAGTCAATATTTAGGGCCAGTTAGAGACCAAGCATAACACATCCCAACTCGTCCCATGGTCACTCACTATTGATGTTTGTATGTGTCTCTATTCAAATGTGTACAAAGTAACGATACTTTTTTGGTCGAAAATATCATTGATTATCTAATTTTTCATCATATATATGTTTAATAATGTATATATATATATACACACACATATTATTTTATATGTCAAATTACATATTTAAAATAATAAATAATATTTAGAAAACTTTGTCTAAAATGAGTATACATTATATTTAATCGGGTTTAGGGTCGGGTCCGGGTTTAAAAGCTGACCCTGTGAATATTTAGGGTCGGGTTAACTACGGGTATAGGGTCGAGCCCGGATTCAAAAAAAATGTCCCGATCAATATTTAGGGTCGAGTAAGGACAAACATTAACTCGTCCCAACCCAGCTCATGCTCACTCTTAGATGATAAGCTGAGTGACATCTACAATTCATAAACGAGCAACATTTTCTAAATATTTTTCTCTTTTCGGTTGCTCTTTTTTTTCTCTCTTTTTCGTTTATTTATTGTGGGCTTTCATCTTTATTTATAGAAGGTCCTTGAACACATTTTTTCTTGAGAAATAATCCATCCATTAATAAGTTCATAATGACTCATTTAAAAAGTTTAATTTTGAATTTTTACACATGCCTTTTTAAAATGACGCCTCTTCTCTATTGGGGGAAATTTCAAAAAAGAGTCAAAATTTATTTGTATTTCTTGATTTAATATGATTGGTTTGACTTATTAGTGCTTTTATGATGAGGTTGATATCAAAATTATTTGATTTGATTTCTTTGGTTTGTTATATTTTAAAATTGTAACTCAAATATGTATTAATCAAGTTAATTGCACTTTGAAATAAAATTTGTATTTATCAAATTAATTTTATAATTATGAAATCAATTAAGCATTAATTTTGTATATTATTTATTTTTAAAAATGAATTCAAATATGTAATCATTCCAATTTGATCATATTTTTATCATTATAATTTTTATGTGTATATGTCACACAATTTTAGGTGTTCATAACGTATATTGATCAACATCCTATATAATTTATAAACACAAAGATTTCAATATATAGAAAACTTTAAAATCATAAATAAAGTAGAAGAAACTTATTGAACTTTGATGTTGTAATAAATTTTTAAACTATCGATATATCATCCATCATTTATGTGTTAAATATTATTAAATTTAAATAATAAATATTAATATTTAGATTCATGAAAGATGAACAATGTTACTGTCAAATTATATGCATTGTTAGTTCATATCCATTAAATTCAATAAAATATATCATACACAAAAAATAATAAATGAAATAAGTTAGCCAATAAATGACCTAATTGTTGGATTATATATATATAAGTACATTTATAAACCTTTATATATATATATATATATACATATGGTCAATAGGGAGAAGAATCTGGTCGTGTGACTAAGGATGTCAACGGGTATCTGGATCCGCGTGTTCCCGCAAAAAATATCTGCAATGGGTTGGGTCTGAGTCTATGTTTAGGACCTGTGAGTAATTAAGACCCGCGATTTTAAGACCCGCTATTAGATGAGTTTGAGTTTGGGCAATAAGGTACACAGACACGTGGCTACCTGGACCCGCTATTTCTTCCTATATATATAACAACCTAATTGTAATATCATGTTAATCTATATTGTAATATCATATTAATTCATAAATGTGATTGTTATGTTGTTAAGCAATAATATTATGTTGTTAATTCATATGTATAATGTAATGTTATTTTAATCGAATAGTTCATACTAAATGAATTTTTCATCATAATGTTGAAGTTATTTTTTAATGTTTGTTAGAGTAAAATGAGTTGTGTTTAATAGTCAAATTACATTGTTAATAAAATTTTAAATTAAGTTTTATAATTTTTTTCTCCTGTTAATTGTCTAAATAACATATAATATCGTATGAAACAAATATACAAATTTATAAATTATTTGCAATTATTTTTAATATTTTTGAATTTATATCTACCTATGGATCCGTTGGGTACCCAAGAACCCACATGTAGTATACCCATCGGGTATTATCATGGGTATGAGGCGGAGCTGAGTCCAAAAACAAAGCAATGGAGTAGGTGTGGCTAATGCACTACCCGAACCCATCTAGACCCATTGTCATCCATACGTGTGACAAATATGAGGCCTCGAACTATAAATATAGGTCTCCCTACTTCATTATTACTCGCACAAATCGAGCTCTTACTCCTCAATTTTCTTATTTCTCCTTCGTATTTTTCGCCGACGCATTTCCGACAACTTTCTTTCTGTGATACTAAGAATTTGCACAGACAGTCATATTGTGGGAATTTCTGAAACTGACACTAGTAGTAAGATTGTGGGAAAATAATTTGCACGAGAAGCCATACTGTGGGTATATCGAGAATTGGCACTGGAAGTTATACTGTGGGTATTTCGAAAATTGACACTGGTAACCATAATATGAGTGTATTCAAGATTGATTCCTACAATATAGTAAGAAATCGATAAAAGAGAACTTGACTGTTTTATTCTGGGGACAATGTAGTTGATAGTGTGTTTGCACAATTTAGGCAGTATCACAAAACATCTTAAAAAAAACATGCCATTAAGTATTATTTCATCCATTATTACGAGATACCTACCCTACATTTTCTCTATCCAATTTAGTGATTAATCCTTAAACGGTTTTTCCTTAGTGAGACAATTTAGTCATTGGAAAAAGAAAATCATCAAATAACCTCTCAAGAATTCTTTAATGAGACAAATGAGTCAATAAAAAAATTCACTATATCCAATTTTGTCCAAATTTTTAGTTGAGTTCTCTCACAAAAGAAATTTTGTTGACTAAACAAAAGAACCTTTAAGAGTTGAGAATATTTGGAGACTTATCTTTTCTTCAGGAGTTTAAGTGACCTTTAAAAAAAAAATCAAGTACTAATTCATGACTTCATTTTTTTCAGCAACAAAATTCGGTCAAACAAAAAACATTTAGGAAGAAATTTGGTATTTTAAATGTCATTGAAGGAGACGAATTCTTAAGTGATTTTTTCTTCAGTGTTTTTGCCTTTTATTTATATTCTCTGTTTTAGATGTGTCAAAATGAATGGATCTCGTCGGTCCGGTCCGTCAAACCCCAAAAATTTATAGGGCTTGTGTATCATATTATGTATTTTTTAGTGAATTCAGACTTTCTAGCCCAGACTAACCGAATTATATTAAACCCGGACTCGGACCGAACTTACTCGGAAGGTTTCAGCTACCCGTTTTTCCTTGTTTTTAAACCTTTTTTGGGACCGTTAGCTTGACAATAAGTCTTTGGTGAAAATTATTTTACAAAATAACTTATAATAAATAATAGATAATAAATAATGAGTTATGAACTTTGAATAAAAAATAGAGTAATGTCTACCACATAAAAATTCTATTTTCATTTCTTAATTTTATATTTATTAGATTTAACTTCTACAATAAAAACATAGAAATAATATAATTTTTACAATGAAACTTAAAGACAACGTAATTGTTTACCATATAAAACTCAACACAACTAAATTTATCATAATAGTTCACAATAAAATTGTTGATAAAGAGCATGCGAATGATCTTCATACATAGAGTAAAGAATAATGATAATATATTATGATGAGAATTATACTTTGACAAATAGAATTCATTCTGAATTTGAGTCTATACTACAATTACTATAAACCAAAGTGATATTATTTTTTATTGAATTTGTTTATATATTGAAATGAAGTTACAAATTAAATTATATTCTGTTAGGGAGTGAGAGTTCAATATAAATAAGATATTTAATAAATGACTTATGTTATAAGTCATATACGCAGACTAGACATTACATCTTAACTCACACAAGGTATTAGATCTATAAGTTTGGTTGCATTGGGCATAACAAGTGCGTTAAAAATGTTATACATTAATATCGAACTATATATATATATGTATATATATATATATATATATAATTTAAACATATTAACTATGTTAAAATTTAAATAAATATTTGTAGTATTATGCAGCCAGCCCGCCACAACCCGCAACCCACTTAGGGTGGATTTGGCCTACAATTTAATGTGCATAAATTGTATTTGAGTTTTTTTAGCCCGATTTGATTTAATCTGAACCCAATATAGGCTAGCTCAAACTCGTTAGGTAGTCCGTTTTGACATCTCTACTCTATTTGTTTGTTTAATTTTTTTATTTTCATTATCCCAAATATTTGATAAAGCCGAAATTGGAGCCTAGACGAAACTTGTACAATGATAAAACATCACGGGTGATGCGTATAGTACACGCCACTTTAAGGTCCAAACTTGTTTTTTTATTTTTTATTTAATTCTTAGTCTTTCAACCGACAATTTCTATTCTAGATTACTTTTAAATAAGTTTTCATATAATT